CAGCAGTCATGAGTTCAGTTGGTTAGAAAAGTGTATAAAGTGTGTGTGAGGGGTTTTACAGCCGTAAAACATACAACTGCTACTTCAAGGATTTCGATTATTGCAATAAATGAGAGACCATGAGAGTACCTGCTTATTGAATAACTCACTCGTGTCTGTTCCGCCCAGCTCAGTAGCGTCTGACAGCCAACCACACCTCTTTGAAAATATTACCCATAAATCTTGGCCTGGCTGCATAATACCGTATATGATTGATGCATTTATGTTGTGCTATCCAGGCCTATGTCAGGTTAAAGCTGCACTAACTGACTTTGGGATTTCGAAGCAGTGGTTTCGCTGGCCTCGCTAGCTAAGTCAGTTAGTGCAGCTTTAAGGCACAATACTATCAATGGTTTCTCTCTGGTTTCTCTCTCTAGTCCAGGGGTGTCATTCATACGGCCCGCGGGCCGGAACCGGCCTGCCAAGAGATTTGACACGGCCCGCGGCTCATTTATGTAAAAATATAATAATAATACATTTTAAAAAGCCGCTCCGCGACGCGACGCTACGCGAGGCCCCTGAGCGCGACGCCGCAGCGCCGCGCTCAGGGGCGAGTCCAGTGCGTCTGTAGTGGCTCCACCAGAGCGGTGCTGGAGAAATAACATCTTAAACTACAAGACTCGGCGAAAAATACGGCACTTTGAGCGGAGAATTGAGAAAACAGAAGATAAACATGTCTGGCCCTGAAGACACAGCAGTCTGTTTGTGCCCAGAGCGAGAGGTTAGTTCTGCTGTTGTGAAGGGAAGCTACCTGTGCTAACAACATTAGCATTAGCATCGCAGCCGCACAGTGAGAGAGAGTTTGTTAAAACACTCACAGGCTGCAGACATGGTCTGAGAAACCACTCGCTTTTACCAACATGTTGCCATCGATAAGAGACTGATGTTACTGATGTCACATATTCATTTGTGGTGTTACTGAAACTATCAGAGGAGTTTTGAGCGCTGCTGCTGGTTCTGCTGCTGGTTCTGCTGTTGTTGCTGGTGTGTTGGACAGTGTGGACTGGTACCGATGGTAAAAACAGGTGTAGTGACAAAGCTGCAAATGGAGGTGATGATTTTTGGACATTTGACTGTATTTTACACAGAGACACTGCTGCAGTCGTTAAGAATGGATCACGTTATGGAAGTTGTTTTATTCATTTCAAGTGAATCATGGTCAGTTTGATGCTTTCTCTGTGATAATAACATAACCATGGACCTTACCACACTGAAGATGGTTAATGTGATAATAACATAACCATGGACCTTACCACACTGAAGATGGTTAATGTGATAATAACATAACCATGGACCTTACCACACTGAAGATGGTTAATGTGATAATAACATAACCATGGACCTTACCACACTGAAGATGGTTAATGTGATAATAACATAACCATGGACCGTACCACACTGAAGATGGTTAATGTGATAATAACATAACCATGGACCTTACCACACTGAAGATGGTTAATGTGATAATAACATAACCATGGACCTTAACCACACTGAAGATGGTTAATGTGATAATAACATAACCATGGACCTTACCACACTGAAGATGGTTAATGTGATAATAACATAACCATGGACCTGACCACACTGAAGATGGTTAATGTGATAATAACATAACCATGGACCTGACCGCACTGGAGATGGTTAATGTGATAATAACATAACCATGGACCTGACCACACTGAAGATGGTTAAGCTGAGGTGCTGTGTTAAAGTGCTTTTTTCTGTCTGCCTACTTTACCTTTGTGAGCAAGTTTTCTCTGTAATGAGCCTTAAAACAAAGCTAACATACAAATATTAATATACATATTGTGAAATACCATTTTCAATGTAATATTGTAAATACATTACATTATTTGCACTATGGAAAACTCACTGTTACATTTAAGTTTGTAACAGAAAACTGAGCATTAAAGGATAGTGTTTTAAAGGAAGTTTTAAATAAATGTGTTTATGTGCACAAAAAGTTGGACTTTGTACCGTTTTTGGATATTTTTGTAGAGCATCTCCTGGTCCGGCCCACTTGAGATCAGATTAGGTTGTATGTGGCCCCCGGACCAAAATGAGTTTGACACCCCTCCTCTAGTCTGTCTCCAGAGAGACCATGAGAGAGTAGAGAGAGACACCAATGAGAGACCAGAACGAGATCAGAGAAAGACCAAAGAGAGAGACCAGTGTTAATATGATGTTACTAACATACTATGGTGTTGGCCCGGGGTGAAGCAGCCTCTGTGCAGTGTCCCCTCCGGTTGTTGATGCATAAATGTTTGACTGCATCTCCCACATGTTAAGAAATACATGATCCGAGCACTCATCCACACACCTCAGAGAGGAGCCAGTGTTAGGAGCGTGTCTCTGTCCAAGTCTTGGGGTAAAAATGATGATTGTGGTTTAAATAAGTAAGAAAGTAAGTAAGTAATCTCTTTATTTAGATGATATAAGCCTTTTTTACCAAGGTCACCCAAAGCCCTTTGCAATCTCCAGGGTACAGATATTGTTTCATTCCACGCAATGATGCAGTAAGCGAGACGCTGAACACACTGGCGCATCAAAGCCCCCAACCAACACCATCCATTCACTAATTAATTACAGTCATACCAATTGTTTTTAGTGGTAGGGGAAACCGGAGACCTGGGGAGAACATGCAAACTCCACTCAGAAAGGCCCTGTTCCCAGAAATGCCCAGCAAAAGCACAAACTCACAGAGTTTGGTTGGTTTTATGTAGCTTTTTTTGGAAAGACGTTTCACACATTATTCATTCACTCCACACACAGCAGTAATAAACTACTACTGTAGCCACAGCTGCCCTAGGACACACTGACAGAAGCGAGGAAATCGGCCCCTCCCACCACCAACCAACCATTCACACACACCAGACTGACTACAATGTGGGTGAAGTGTCTTGCCTGTCTGTCCTAAGTACACACGGACAGTCTCCGTTCAACTGCAGAGGTCTGACAGAATCTGGCCAGGTATCCTAAAAACACTTCAGAAACACGGGGCTTCAGGGAGACAACGGAGAAAAACAAACAGAGAAACATTCTATTTCTATGACTCTTTACTCTGCAGATCAATCCCCCCCATACACACACAGACACACACTCTCTGAAGTCCTTTGCATGGCTAAACGCGGTCACATAGCAACACGTTTGATCAGATTGAATAAATATTTCTCTCCTACGCTCTCCTCTTTCCGCTGCCAGGCTGGAAATAGACTGCGACAAAGAAACACACAATAAACATATGGTGTTTTCTTTTGTAGGAGGTATAAAAATAACTGGGCTTCACATAGTGTGGGCGTCCATGACAACGCTTCAGGCTAGAATCCCTTCACAAATCCACAATCATTCATATTTAGAAAGAAAAAATGTATATATATTCGGATATATAACCGTATATAACCATATACAGCAAATGTGTGAGTTTTAGGACACAGCTAATGCACATTGTTTGAGTCGGAAATCATGTTTCCCCATTGCTCCATCAAAAACAGACCTGGAGATGTTTATGTGGAGTCCACCTATACACAGTCATCACACAATTCACAGACCAAAGTCACACAAATCGCTTTCCAAGGTTTTTTTTCCAGTACAGATAATTTACAGGGGCGACTGTAGCTCAGTTGGTAGAGCATTGGCCTTCAGGCCTGAAGGTTGTGGGTTCAATTCTCACCTCTACACCTTCTCCACAGACTGACTGCTGTCGTTGTGTCCTTGGGCAAGACACTTAACCCCACTTTGCCCAAAGCCCCCACTGAAAGATCAAGGCTATGCTCACACTCAGAGAGCAGCCGTCCTCCTGTGGTCTCACCACCTGCAGAGGGTCAGTGAGGGGCTGGTGCTATGAGACTTGGGTGGCATCTCTGACTGCCACCCCCCTGACCCAGAAATGGATTAAAGGGTAGAAAATGGATGGATGGATGGATAATTTCCCATGTATTCACTTATTACATTCAGATAAGTATGTCCATGCTTTTAGTGGTAGGGGGAAAAGGAGCACCCGGAGGAAACCTACACAGACACAGGGAGGTGGAATCAAACCCAGGACCTCCTTTCTGTGATGCACTAAGTGCTAACCACTGCGCCACTGTGTCATAATCTACGGCAGGGGTACCCAAACATATTACTATCAGCGGCTTACATGAAAGGGGAATTGCTTGGCGGCCATTCAATGAGCCATATCTAAACCGGGTCTTAACCAGGTCCAAGCTCGGTAAGTAAGTGAAAGGTATAGTGCCTTTCACAGACCAGAGTCACAAAGGGCTTTACAATTGTCGGCATTTGTCCTCTCACTCAACACAGAGATGGGAGTAGGTCCGCTCAGGGTCCAAACCAGGCCTATGTCAGGGTTATACCAGGTCCAAACCAGGCCAATATCAGGTCTACCAGATCCAGTCCAGGTCTGAATCAAGTCCATACCTTGTCTAAACCAAGGTTTAGACAAGGTATATTAAACCAAGGTTTAGACAAGCTTAAAATAAAGTATATGTCCATTATGGATTCATGTTGACGGAGGTGAAGTTGGCGGAATGACAAATATTAATAACAGAGTTTGATACAAAATGTTGACACACAATCAAAACCAAAAGCCAGAATAAAATGAAATCAATGAATGGATTTCGGAGGTCCTGAGCTTTACAACGAGATACAAGTCTGTAATATTGGAGCTGAAGTTGGCTGGATGACACTGTGAACTGGCTACTCTGGGTTAGCAAGGAGGAGGTCCACATGAAATGCCACAGTTTGTACATGGCTGCCACTGTGTGATGGGGTCTGCTCCCTGCTTGATGCCATGAAGATGAATGGAATATATCACTTAGGGTTTTTACTGCTCGAAAAGCTCTCTGCAAACACGGCACATACATTTGACTTTTCTTCCCATTTCTACTCTGTCCTCCCCCTTTCATGCATGCTATCTGAGGCTATCCATTAGCACTGCTCCTCTCCCGTTAGGAGGCGGAATGAGCCTGAGAGCGGCTCTATTGATTTGGATGGGAATGTGCTTACGCCGACATCGATATCTCCGCACACGGGACAGACTCCTGTTAGCCACAACCCCCAACCCCACAGAGCTGCTGATACAGGGAAACCCAACCAAACCTGGTCCGACCAGAAGAAATGGTCCTTTTCAAGGACCTTTTCAGTCCTCCAGTCTCTGTCCTCCCAGTCTCTGTCTTCCCAGTCTCTGTCCTCCCAGTCTCTGTCCTCCCAGTCTCTGTCCTCCAGTCTCTGTCTTCCCAGTCTCTGTCCTCCCAGTCTCTGTCCTCCAGTCTCTGTCCTCCAGTCTCTGTCCTCCCAGTCTCTGTCTTCCCAGTCTCTGTCCTCCAGTCTCTGTCCTCCAGTCTCTGTCCTCCAGTCTCTGTCCTCCCAGTCTCTGTCCTCCCAGTCTCTGTCCTCCCATCTCTGTCCTCCAGTCTCTGTCCTCCAGTCTCTGTCCTCCAGTCTCTGTCCTCCCAGTCTCTGTCCTCCCAGTCTCTGTCCTCCCAGTCTCTGTCCTCCAGTCTCTGTCTTCCCAGTCTCTGTCCTCCAGTCTCTGTCCTCCAGTCTCTGTCCTCCAGTCTCTGTCCTCCAGTCTCTGTCTTCCCAGTCTCTGTCCTCCCAGTCTCTGTCCTCCAGTCTCTGTCCTCCAGTCTCTGTCCTCCCAGTCTCTGTCCTCCAGTCTCTGTCCTCCCAGTCTCTGTCCTCCCAGTCTCTGTCCTCCAGTCTCTGTCCTCCCAGTCACTGTCCTCCAGTCTCTGTCTTCCCAGTCTCTGTCCTCCCAGTCTCTGTCCTCCCAGTCTCTGTCCTCCAGTCTCTGTCCTCCCAGTCTCTGTCCTCCCAGTCTTTGTCCTCCCAGTCTCTGTCCTCCAGTCTCTGTCCTCCCAGTCTCTGTCTTCCCAGTCTCTGTCCTCCCAGTCTCTGTCCTCCAGTCTCTGTCCTCCCAGTCTCTGTCTTCCCAGTCTCTGTCCTCCCAGTCTCTGTCTTCCCAGTCTCTGTCCTCCCAGTCTCTGTCCTCCCAGTCTCTGTCCTCCCAGTCTCTGTCCTCCAGTCTCTGTCCTCCCAGTCTCTGTCCTCCCAGTCTCTGTCCTCCAGTCTCTGTTCTCCCAGTCTCTGTCTTCCCAGTCTCTGTCCTCCCAGTCTGTCCTCCAGTCTCTGTCCTCCCAGTCTCTGTCCTCCCAGTCTCTGTCCTCCAGTCTCTGTCCTCCCAGTCTCTGTCTTCCCAGTCTCTGTCCTCCCAGTCTCTGTTCTCCCAGTCTCTGTCCTCCCAGTCTCTGTTCTCCCAGTCTCTGTCTTCCCAGTCTCTGTCCTCCCAGTCTCTGTCCTCCCAGTCTCTGTCCTCCAGTCTCTGTCCTCCAGTCTCTGTTCTCCAAGTCTCTGTCCTCCAGTCTCTGTCCTCCAGTCTCTGTTCTCCCAGTCTCTGTCTTCCCAGTCTCTGTCCTCCAGTCTCTGTCCTCCCAGTCTCTGTCTTCCCAGTCTCTGTCCTCCAGTCTCTGTCCTCCCAGTCTCTGTCCTCCCAGTCTCTGTCCTCCCAGTCTCTGTCCTCCCAGTCTCTGTCTTCCCAGTCTCTGTCCTCCAGTCTCTGTCCTCCCAGTCTCTGTCCTCCCAGTCTGTCCTCCCAGTCTCTGTCCTCCCAGTCTCTGTCTTCCCAGTCTCTGTCCTCCCAGTCTCTGTCCTCCCAGTCTCTGTCCTCCCAGTCTCTGTCCTCCCAGTCTCTGTCTTCCCAGTCTCTGTCCTCCAGTCTCTGTCCTCCAGTCTCTGTCCTCCAGTCTCTGTCCTCCCAGTCTCTGTCTTCCCAGTCTCTGTCCTCCCAGTCTGTCCTCCAGTCTCTGTCCTCCCAGTCTCTGTCCTCCCAGTCTCTGTCCTCCAGTCTCTGTCCTCCCAGTCTCTGTCTTCCCAGTCTCTGTCCTCCCAGTCTCTGTTCTCCCAGTCTCTGTCCTCCCAGTCTCTGTTCTCCCAGTCTCTGTCTTCCCAGTCTCTGTCCTCCCAGTCTCTGTCCTCCAGTCTCTGTCCTCCAGTCTCTGTCCTCCAGTCTCTGTCCTCCAGTCTCTGTTCTCCCAGTCTCTGTCTTCCCAGTCTCTGTCCTCCAGTCTCTGTCCTCCCAGTCTCTGTCTTCCCAGTTCACACATATCAAAGCACTAACAGTTTGTAAATGGACCACTCCTGCTGAGCAGAGGGCTCTGATGAGGTTGTCTCATGTTGAATCCAACTCAAATCAGTGATTAACTACAGCACAAAAATAATGTACTGATCATATAGTTTTATGTAGATTTCACAATGGTTGATTAAACATATTGGTCTCACCTTGACCTGTCCACAGCACCAACAGCATCAGGCTGGACACAATCCATTCTGTTGATTGTGTCCACTGTCCAGCCTGACATGTCCAAACAAAGGCCAGCAGGCCAAATGCAGCTGTCTGTCATTTTATATAGCCTTCTGCCATGAACATAATGCAACCTTTGATATATTAATCACCAGTTCACAGTGTCATGCAGCCAACTTCAGCGCCGTCAACGGGGGCACGTTATACTATGACGCTCAGAATTTCTGTAATCCAGTCGTTGACTTTGTTTAACTGTTCTGAGTCAGGCTTGCCTGTGTAGCAAAACTAACCAGACTAAAACTATAAACCTTCCACAGCCCAGCTTTAAGAGTGCCTCATTGCTGAATCTAACAGTATGGATTGTGTCCAGCCTGATACTGTTGATGCTGTGGACAGGTCAAGGTGAGACCAATATGTTTAATCAAAGGGGCCTTGTTATCACAGCGGCCCCTGTGCAGGTCATGGGAAATGTTCAGGGTCGAGGCATACCCCCATAACCGGGACAGAGAAGAGGGGAGGACCATATTTCAAACGTGACAGGATGGTAAATGTAAAGCAGGGCAAGGTGAGTTCATTTATTTTGTAGTTTATGCACAAAGTAACTCAAAGTGATTAACAAAACAAAAAATCTAAAATCTAAATCTTACAAGGCTATAAAGAGAGAATTGTATACAAGCTGAGCTGCTTTAAAGTCGAGGAAGCCAGTGCAGAGACCTGAGAACAGGACTAATGCAAGTGGACTTCCTGGTTCTAGTCAGAAAGCACAAAATGTAGCTTAAACTTGACAAGTGCATGTAACATGGTCAAAAGTCATGATGTCTCCTTTAATGACATACCTCTAGCAAAGTTATCATCAATACATTATTAAGATGCAAAATGTCAAAAATAATGACAGCCAATGACTGTCAATGACTCTAGTACCAGTTCGGGCAAGAGGGACTAATGAAGGATGTGGTACTGGTTAAACAGGGCCGGTGGAAACACTCGCAATCAGAATAGAGTAGAGTAGGGGAGAGTAGAGTAGGGCCATGTAGGGCTTTTGTCTTTTCTTCTTTCTCTCGTCCCCATTTATACCTCAGATCTGCCAACCCACCCTCTTTCTCCCACAACAAAAAAAAGATACCGGAGATATTGAAGACCACAACTCGAGAAGCAATTATTTTGGGAGAATTGTCATGGCAATACTAGCACACAAGACTAAAACATGCAGCGCTAATGCTAACCAGCATGCTGCTGACGAGTGCTCTCCGGGGGTCTTGGAGGAGGCCAGTGATTTCCCCCTCGTACACTTGGAGACCCCACACAGACAGGGTGAGGGTGGGAGTGGGCTGCAGGCGGTTTTATTACAGCTACAGCTCTGAACAATACTGCACATTTGTGAGACAAGAGGGTGCATTCAAGTGACATCACATTCCAAGGGGACTGTTGTTAAATTGTAGCATAGGGCAGATGAAAAGTCCCTTTTGACAACTATGGTAATTTATGAAGCCACTGATGTGCTGAAATGGTGACAGTATTCAAAAACATATGCATGATGTTTGCCAGTCACTGACTCTACTGTACTCTACTCTGCTCTACTCTTCTCTTCCCGATTGGGAGTGTTTCCACTGGCCCTGTTTAACCAGTACCAGGTCCTTCTTTAGTCACTCTTGGCCCTGGTTGTATCCAGGTTGAGCGGGTACTAAAGTGTTTTAACTGACACTGATTGGCCTGAGTGCTGCTGGAAGCCAAGGGTACCAAAGGATTCCCAAAGATACTGGTTTGTTTGTGTAATGGAAACACAACCATGTATAGTAGAGTAGAATAGGGCCAGCTCGGGCTGGTGGAAACTGGGCTATAGAATTCTAGAATATTTAAATTTCTCCTCTGCATTTGACCCATCCAGATGCCACTAAGGCTTACGTCAGGAGCAGTAATTGCCGTAGTAAAGCGATTTTACCTACTGAGCATATTTTTAGTGGTATAGGGAAACCGGAGCATCCAGAAGAAACCGGAACACCCGGAGGAAAACTACAAAGACACAGGCAGAACATGCAAACTCCACTCAGAAAGGCACTGTTCATACCGGGATTCGAACACAGGACCTTCTTGCTGAGAGGTTGCTATCCACTCAGCCACCGTGCTGCCCATAACCATCAAACTCTCGGTCTAAGGACAGTGAGGATCCAGGACATTTATAAAAAATGTTGGACCGTGGTCATCCTCTGCATGACACTATGGCCGCTGTTGTATTTATAAATACGTGACATTCTAAAACCATGTGTTTTATGACCTAAACGACCTCTAAGTGGGAGGCCAGTCCTTCTTATTTTATTTTAGGTGTCTTCTTGTGCCAGCAACTGGACAACAGATAGATTCTCCTGTTTGGATTTCACCCCCCTAGTCTTGGCCTGCTGACTTCTGCACTTTTCAACCTCACTCCATCAGGAGTCTGGCAGACGGTGGAAAAGGCTGGACCCTAGACCGGAAGCTGGCTGATAGGACACTCCCCTCCTTCCTGTTCTTTTTATATGCTCTGGCTTGGGGAGAAACAGAGGGATCAGCCGAGGGCCAGAGAGAGGGACATATATAGTTTTAGGAGCACTCTTTGTTGGAATTTCTGTATCTGATTGTAAAGATAAATTAAATACAGATGTTAAACTTGGAGATCTCTTGTCTTACTCTTGCATCGACTTTGAACACGTCAGTCAAAGGGAATTATTGACTTCATTTGGTGAATCCCGACGTGATCGGTGCAGGAGCAAGACAGAGATGAGCTCAAATATAGACTGGGTCCGTGGGCCGGGAAAATTCTCTCTTCTCTTCGAAAGAGGTAAGCGGATCGTTACTTTTGAAAATCTGCACATTGTTTTAAATGGAAGAGAGAGAGAGAATTCGGCTCGACGGACTGCAGCGTGGCCAGACCGCCGTGATGGGTGTTCTATCGGACGCGATAGAACAATAGTCAGGTTTAGACGTTTTTAGCCTTGGGGGAAGCATGGGTCCCTCCTTAAAAAAACAGAACATAGATGATGAAAAGAGCCACAGGATTTATAAGTGCAAAAGAGGCACACCTTCTTAAAGTGCAGAGAGGCACAAGCGTATTAGTGAAAAAATAGGAATAGAATTAGAGAAATAGGGACAAATTTAGGGTCAGAAGTGATAGGATAATAAAACCTTCTATATCCCCCGGGGGGCGGGAAAAAGGGTACAATTAATTTAAACAGAAAAAAGCCAAGTATTTAAAATGTGAATTCTGATACTAACGATCTGATTAATGAGAAAAAAGAGAGCCACTTGGCTGTAGTATACGAGTTTCATGTGAAGAAATGACAAAAGATCAGTCTGGGAGTTTTTCTCTTGTATTGTGATGTAATGTTTCGATAGTTACAGAGAATCAGAAAAAAAAAAAAAAATTCTGCTGGAACTCTCGATACATTAATCATGTAGCAAATGGTAATGTTTTCCATTACTGACGTATTTAAGGATAAAATGTAAAGTGTCGTTTGACGTGAGAAAAACTTTTACCACTGATTAAAACCTTGTCACGAGAAAAACGAGGAAAGTATTTCAGACTCCATGTTTTCCTTTGTTCGGGAGGCCCCTCCCCTTCTTCTTTCTCTCTCTCTCTCTCTCTTTCTGTCTTTCTCTCTCTCTCGTGAAGAAAGAAATTTTGTGTAGAAAATTACATTTATACACACGATAATGTTACTGACAGGGAGTCATAGGATCACAGAACTTTGAGTTAGATTATAAAGAGGCATTATTTTATTTTTTATCTCCAAGGCGTCTGGACAAGTTATTAAACATTTTTTCCATACATTTTGGTGATATAAAAGTTAGAATGATCTTAGAGAGCATTATACTTTTGGAAAAATAGGGCTTAGGATAGCAGTTGAATGCAGATTTGGTTTTCAGAATCTAATGTTTAAAATGTTAATATTAATTATTTCATAGGTCTATTTTGATTTGTAATTAATCATTGGTTTTGTATGGTAATTAACACACTTGTTTGTGTTTCTTGTTTGTCTGTTTTTTCTGAGAAAACTTCTGTCTGTTTCATTTGGCCAAAATCGTCTCTGCCACAAACCACAATCGAGCGCCATCAGCACGGACCATCAGCGTCTCCCCCAGACCCACAGGGGGCACCAAAGACAGCAGCATCGGCTGCAGCAGCTAACAGGAACTCTCGAAGAAGACTCCTCCAGCCCCCATTTCTAACAGCATTGACAAAGAAAAGACCGCAGATTTTTTCACAAACTGAGTGTTGTCCCATCTACGGAACAGAAGGTGGCGGTAATGCAAAAAATATAGGCCGCCAACCGCCGGAAAACCTAACAAGAAGAAGAAGGACACACACACTGGTGTGCGTCAAAAATGAGACAAAGAAAGACATGAGAAAAAGTTGTTGAAAGAAGAAGAAAGTGATTGAAAAGAAGAAGAAAGACATTATGAGAAAAAGTTATCGGAAGAAGAAAGAAAGTGATTGAAAGAAGAAGAAAAAAGGCATTGAGGCAAAGGCATTGGACAACTTGAGACAAAAGACATTGAAAGACGCCATAAGAGGAGGACGTGGCTGGGCAAATGAAACAGACGGAAGGTAATATACAGACAGGCAACAAACGCACAGAGACATATTAAGTCATATTTACACATTTAGCTAGGTCATTCGTTCATAACACTACATTTAGCTGCATGAAAGATTGCAAGACAATCGTCAAAATTAATTAGACTCTTGCTTTAGAATGAGACACAAGGAGATTAGAACAGCAGTATATTTAAGGTAGAGGAGCTCTATTATTGAAACTATTATTGTTATTTAAAGTTATAGACGCGGAGAAGTTTAGAATTATTGATCTTGACTGCATGATCTTGGTAATACGGATATTTAAGGCAATTTTTCAACCTCTGAACCGT